GGCACCAATAATAAAGGCTGATATGAGATTGGGTATTTTTGGCAAAAGAATGACCTGAATGAAAACAAACCATCAACACTTATGCACCGTGGCATCTACCTATCTCTGTTCTATACTGACATTTGAAATATGTATTGACTTGACATAACACTTGTGTATGTAGCTATTGAAAGGAATAAGATTATTTGTCTTCGGATTTATAGAACTCGTGTTGGCAACCATTAATTAGAAAACCTGTTCAAAGCAATTAACCATGGTTTTGTAAAACTAAGAGACTGAATTTTTTCTTTTTAGTATGGTTATTGTTTTGGTTTTTAGCTTCTTCTTTTTTTTTATATATATAAATTTTGTAATTTGAAATAAAAAGCTCATTTACTTTCATGTGCTGTTGTAGTATATTATTATGATTGTGAAAATAATAATAATAATAATAATTTTAATATTATTAAATCAGTTTATATTTTTTGTTGTTAGTGTTCAGTTTAAACAAATTGTTAATTTTTTATTTTTAATTTTAATTTTTAGTAGTTACAAAATTTATGAAAACTAAAATTAAAAAACCACAATCATATTAAATGTAGACTTAAATTCCAATCAAAATTTTGGAATAGATTATTTGTCTTGGGATTGTAACATAATTTTCTGGAAATTTCTAAGGTGATGCTGTAAATTTCTGATAAGCACAAATTGTGACTTGAAAATTTTAAGCAATTGTTTTGTTTTTGTTCAATCTAATTTTTATCAAATAGACGGAGGTTTTTTTTTTTCCCATACTATTATTAATATAATTGCTATTGTTTGTTTCTTATCGTTTAACTAGCAATTAATCTATTGCATCTTGTAGGTTGGATACCGTGGGTTGGAGAATTTGAAGTTATCTGAATTTCCTGAGTTGATTGAAATTTGGAATAAAAAACCTCAAGAAATCTTGCCTTTCAAAAGGCTTAGATCTCTAGAAGTTTGTAACTTTAACAGTTTCAGATACCTTCTAACCACTTCTATGGCGTTGGGCCTCACGCAACTCTGGGATTTGAAAGTTGCAAACTGTGCTGCAATGGAGCAAGTGATCATAGGAGAAGGAGCTGAGGAGTTGTTTCCTAACCTATACTCTATTATTTTAGAGTCTTGTCCCAACTTGAAATGTTTCTATGAGGGAAATAGTGGGCTTGTGTTTCCATTGTTGAACAAAATTACTGTTGTTAACTGCCCAGTTTTGGCTGCTTTTGCTGCTTCATTTTCAAGTGACCAAAAGACAGAGATAACAACTAATGACGCAGAAAGTGAAGAAAGTCCTGTCATCCGTACTCAGCCTTTCTTCAGTGATAAGGTTAGTTATTTCGTAAAAATTATTTTATTTTACTTTTACAGAGTATTTGTTTCTTCAGTGTCGATACTGCTATCATCTCCACCTAATTTACCTTTATAGATATATCGATTACCTTAAACAATTGTGCCTAAAAGAACCATAATTGCAGCAAATTCATAGTAACAACCAATAATGGAATGCTCTCAAAAACTATTATTATAA